ACGATATATATTAGAAGCATAACTTTGTAAAACGTTTTGAAGAAATAAATGTATTTTAAAACTGAAATCTTGTGCAAACTTTTGCCTTCAAAGCACGCGCCTTCCCGCCCGCGCGATTTGCACCCAAGCGTCGCTAATTAATGACTGGCAACACATAGCAACGTATACAACGACCGCATATTTGATAAAAACATATTTTTTATGGCAAAATATATCACAACTGTTCTAAAAGTTTTTCCTTCAAGTATTCTTGATAAGCTTTCATACATTTCATACGTTCCAAAAATAGTTCAAGATACATTGTAGTTCATGACACTCAATTCGAATATTAAACGCTCACGAAATTTATACGGACACCTAGCTATTGTCATTTGATGGCGTGGGACGCGAAAAATTGCTGAGCTCAGCGAAAATAGTGACTGTTCGCCTGAACATGCCCACGACCGCCCGTAATAATATCCATTTATATCCATTAGGGTCCTCTTGGTTATGCAAATTCGGATTACCTTAATCCCCTTAATTACCTCAACCTTTGTGTTATACGCATATTTATGTTTCTATCAATAAAACTATATATTTAAAATTTATTTTGAAAATATGCTTGTAAAACCATCGTTTTTATTTCGTTTTAAGTAACAGAAGGAGTGCTATATCTTTAAGAAACTTTATATTATTTGCTGTGTTTTATGCACTTAGCAGCAACACATAGCAACAACATTAACAGCGACTTGAATTTTTAATGATGCGCCACCTTATTCTATGCTAATGATGATGCGCCACCACACGCCATCACAAAAATCCGGATCGATCGGCCTGTATATTACCACTAACATTCATTATTTGTACAATAATTCTCAATTTTTGAGCATCAGCTCGCCCGATAGAATAGAATGTTGAAGGGTATACATATAGAAACGTGGGAGCGAAAACTATATATACATGTACATAATCTACAGCGCCACATATAGAAAAACCCTTGATCAATTTATAAGAATTTCATATTATCGAAATCACTAGAGTGGTAAATTTGTCCCTCGACATTTGCACGCGCGGGGGTTGATTTTATGTACCATGCACGTGATGAACTTTTTGAACACCTGGTGACCGCTTCGAAACTTTCAACGGTGTTCGTATCTACTTCGTAAACAATCTGCGATGTTCTAGTGGAATTGGTGCTTTAATGATTGAGAAAATTATTTTTAGAGCTATTTAATAGTAAAACTTTTGACCATGTTTCAAGAAGCGGTGAAGGTACAGTCGATAACATTCTCGAACTGACATTTGGCTATTTATAGACTACAATAAAATACTCAGTACCGTTAATAAAGACAAGCTGGCACACAGCACACTGAGGTGTAAGATTTGTAGTAAATACTTTTTCTTTACCTTAATTTGTAGTTCTAAAACATGCTTGGGCGTTTATAGTTCTTTTCAGAACTTTAGAATTACAATTCGCATAATCCGCAAAATATCATTTCGAAGCGGTCACGAGGTGTTCAGAAAGTTCATCACGTGGCACATAAAATCAACCCCGCGCGTGCAAACCTCGAGGGACAAATTTACCACTCTAGTGATTTCGATAATAAGAACTGTAAGCACTACGCTAGACATAAAGAAACGATTAGGGGAAACGAGATGAGAAAAAGAGGAAAAGTGTGAGATAAGCTCATTTCTATGACTTCACTTACCGCCAAGGCCAATCTTTTGAAATGGGGGTAGGATAAGGAACTGGCTGTTGAAAAAATGCAAGTATATACGGTCAGTCACTGCAAACTATATTTAATACACATGGCGTCACATGCAGGTATTTATTTTAGCCCTTTAATTTAAATCCAGTCCTCGTACGTTAGTTAAAGAGGCCATCCAGTCATTTTTTAGTCGAAAAGCCACCTTAAGTATTGTTTACATTTTTTTGTTATTGTCGCTACTTGACATGCGCACCACGGCATGCATGCGTCTTCCGATGTGCGAAAGTACTCATACTCATGGATACTGCATGTAAGATACAGCCGAACGAATCTCCGTGGAGTCCCCTACTTAAGGTGGCTTTTCGACTAAAAAATGACTGTAGGGCCCCTTGAAGTTTTTGGCTTAACTTTGACGCTAACTTGCCGAGGGTAAAGAACACCAGGATTTCATGGTTAAAAAATCCTACAACTCAGATACTTAGTGAGTTAGTTAATCCGCAATCTTTCAGGCAAATGAAGGGAGAGGGGGGGGGTCGTCCTAGTTTTTGTAACTGACCCAGCTACAACATGAAATTATTTGGATTATTTAGTTGATATCGATAACACACGCTGTGGTCGGCCAATTCACCCGAGCCTGAAGCACGTTATACAAGTATATGCCCGGATTAGTGTTTGCATTTGAAGGACGACAACCGAAGACCCGGAGAAAAGCTCTCGAAGCACAAATACTATATGCATGATATTTCAAGTACAGGTATGTCACTGAACCTATTAAGTAAATCCTATACCCTTGACCTAGAGTAGCAGACTTAACTACCCGCATTTGTCACCCGTGCTTAATTGTCATTTTCTGAAAAAAGCTCATGATCTACTGAATAATAATTTTCACCTTATTCGTGGTCTTTTCATGTCAGGGTAAGCATAGTATCGATACGCAGTCATATACCCCACTATACTGTATGTTGTCGTGCCAGCCTCTCTGAATTTCTTATACCTAACAATATAGCAATAAGACAATGTTACAATGGTATTGGGTAATTAAGATATTCCCCTAAATGCTGCAGGTACAATGTGCTGCCCCCGAAGGGTAAAGCTTTGACTTGTTTTGGCCTGAAATTGAGGTATACTGTAGATATTACAGTTGTGATCAGAAATATTGTTGGGTGTTTTTATGCCTACTGGTCTGAATAGGATATGTTTTATGGCCTGAAATGCTTTTTGGTCTGAAATAGAATGAGAGCCAGGCGGCTCATCTCCAACAAACAAAGATCTTGAAGACTCCCCCACACGCGTACACGCACATTTCCAGTAATCTTGCATGCTTGGCTAGGAATAAATCTACCACACTTGCTTCCTTTTGTAGAGACTGCATGATAAGTAGGAATTTTTATACGCAAATGACCATTATTGTTATTTCACATTATAGCCTTCTTCAGGAATGTATCTGATAGTCATTTGCATGTCTAATAATATACAATTCTGATTGGCTAAGAGCCAGAGTGAATTTTTTCGAAATACAGTGCCAAAAAATGAAATACAGTGCAAAAAAGAAATACAGTGCAAATTTCTTAATTTTTTAAATTTTCTTAATTTTATATTTTTCAAATTTCTTAATTTTCTAATTTCTATGTGACTTACGCACGTGAATGCATAATTTTTCATGTATATTATTAGTAAGTAACAGTATGGTTTCTCGTGCAGTTTGAAAAAACATACACTCGTGAGTTTTTCAAAGACTTCAAATTGCACGAGTCCGAAATTGATAGTCTTTGAAAAACTCACTCGTGCATGTTTTTTCCAAATTGTACTCGAAACCATACTATTACCTACACAAACATTGTTACAACGAAGCACGCTAAGAAAGTTGGGCAAAATAAAAATGGAAATATTATGTTTGGTTACTTTAAAGTGGAAGTCAAGTCCGCATATAAACAAACGGTTTGTTTACATTTTGAACTGCAGTAGTTTTTTTTTAAATATGATGTACTGTCTGAATATCTAACATCATTTTGGTTCGCTGCGCTTCTAAATGAATTTGAAATAGAGTTTATGTTCAGAAAAATTCGAAACATTCGAAATTTGGGCAATGTTTACATTAGAGGGTCCTCACATTGTTATGAGCAGAACCGATGCGCAGAACGGACTTGACTTTCACTTTAAATTTTCTTTTAAAATTTCATTGCAAAAGCGCATAAAGCTTATACTTAGATTGATTGTACTGTATATAGTTACTAATAAGAATATCAAGAGAATAAAATTACATGAGAAAAAAGTCCCATCTGTCATCATCCATATCTGTCAATAAAAGAACAAATTATTAAAATGCTTGATATAGCACAACTGCGTTAAAGCCATGTAAATATATCCTGATTTATCATCAGCTCCCGCATCCGTTTCCCGCGCTGCATGCATTTTTTACTAATATAAATTATTGACGTTTTCAGCTCACAAACCAAAATTGCGGTTATAAATTCATGCTCGCTGTTTTATAATTTATTTTCTTTATAATTTTAATCAATATTCATCTTTGGAATAGAAATACAATGAATTGATGTAAAATACATAAATACATATATATGTAAGCCTAATGAAAGGTGTAAAATATTTAAAGTTGAAAAACTATTTAAATACAATATACAGTAAAAATCATATCATTCATGAATTTGATAATGTACACACCCTTGGAATAAAAGACGTGCATGTCTATTTTTTAGGACTGTCTTGGAAAGCTGTCTCTAGTCCTCCTCAGTTCGTAAGTTTGATTATTTCTGTTGGCTAAGTAACGGTTACGTGGTTGTTTGGGACTTCCACGATTCTTTTCAGCTTGTTGCATGTTGCCTTTTCCCCTCTTTCTTTTAGTGTGGGTAGGGTATATTTCTCCAGTCCTAGGATTCTCAGGCTTCTTTGTTGAACGCGTTCAATTTCTGTTTCGAGATATTTAGGAATTCCCCCCAGATTAGCGAAGCGTATTCAAGTATTTGCCGAATCTTCGTCGTGTATGTCAGTAGCCCAATCCCAGGTGGTAGGGAGGATTTCCTACATTCTCGAACAAGGAATAATAATTTATTCGCTTTGTTTGTAATTTTGGGAACATGGGTGTTCCAATTTAAGTCGTTTTGCATCCATATAATACACCAAGAAGTTTGAAGGTGTTTACTCTTTCTATTTCAATTCCGTCTGTTTGTATGGGTGGAGGTTCAGGAGAAGATTGGGAAAAACTGATCCACATGTCCTTTGTTTTCTTTGGATTTACCGTCATCTTATTATCATTGACCCAATTCATCACTTGATTTGTCGACTCCTGCAAGTTTGAGAGGGCTCCGTTTGCAACGACTTCATCAATGGTGCAGTCATCCGCGTATTTGTGGGGTTGTTGTTTGTTAATGTGTCTTCCAAATCATTTATATGAATATTGAATCGAGTTGGGGAAATGACGGAGCCTTGCTGAACGCCAGCTGGGGATGGGGCGCTTGAAGACATAACTCCATGCAAATTCACTTGTTGAGTCCGCTTCGTAAGAAAGTACTTCACCCATGTCCAGAAAGCCTTTGATACATTCATTTCCGCTAATTTTGTTAATAAGATTCTATGGCCGACAAGGTCAAAAGCCTTTTTGAAATCCAAGAAAGTAATATGGACCCCATGCATTTCTTCCGGTATTGGAGTTATCTGTTGTGTCAAACCAATTCTAGGTTATCGAGATCAGGGATGAAACGGTGGATTGATTTTTAGCGAAGGCATGTTGGTTTTCCTTTTTTTGCAAATTGTGAAAGTTGAGTTCCAATTGTATTTTCTCTAACAATTTTGCTAGATGGGGTCGCACCGATATTTGCCTGAAGTCGTTGTTTATATCTTGGGGTTGATGTATCTTTGGTACCGGAGTTACAATTGCATGCTTGTACGCAGTGGGATATTTGGATTGAGTAATGCTACTGGTTACGATACTATATATCGCTGGCGTGAGATCGTATATCGCTGGCGTGAGATCGTCACAGTAGTGTTTTAAAAACCAGGCGGGGATTTTATCTATCCCTGTTGCTTTCTTTGGATTAAGGTGCTTAAGGTAGGACGGTACCTGTCCAAGGGAAGGCAGCGGTGGTGACGTAATCTTAAGTAAGTGGTTAACTTCATTTATGTCTGGGAGATCAACATTGACATCTTTCCATGGGTCAGTATAAATGCGGTTCGCAGCAACCTCAGCCAGGACTTCCTTACTGTAGATGGGATTTGTAAGGAGTTATATTTCGTTTCAGCACCCAACAAAGTATAAACAATTTTATACCATTTTGCGGGATCTTTTTGACGGAGATCTCTCCCTTCAGTATGATAGAACGATTACTTTATCACCTCGAGAGAAAGCCTTTTGTCTTGCTTTGAATCCCCCCTTTGATCTGTACAGTATCTTAATTATGTGGGTAATCAAGCTTTATCTGATGTAATTGGGGTTGTCACTTCTGGCATAGCCTTGTCTAACAGAGAGTGCCGTTGTTGCTTCCGGGTTTATGCAGTCTGACTTTTTTGGAAATAGGAGGGGGTTTGTTGGCAATTTTGGGATTTAGCAACATACATTGATGGTCAAAACGACCCAAAAGACCGTCTTAGGTTTAGTTTATTAAACTCCCCAGCGATAATTATTCTTGTCGAAGGACGAGAAAGAAGGACATTGACATTTCATGTTCTTTTTCAGTAAACTCGACTGCCCCGGTGAATAGTAAACAGTGACCACAATGATGGCACTAAAGGGTCTCGGGGTACGGTGGGGTTTTACCTCTTTCCGGCTTCTTCAAGGTTTGACAGGCGAGATGCTGGTACCAACATATGAATGTACTCTAGTATTCCACCCTCACGGGTTGGTCGATCAAGACGAAAAATAGAACAGTTGCCGCCAATGTTTATAGCGCTGTTCAGAATATCGTCTGTTAACCATGTTTCTACGATCAAATTTACTGTTGGTTTGTTTATGGATATGACAGCGTGCAGATAGTTCAGTCACCTTATTTGTGATGTGACAAACATTTGATACGAAGAGGGAAGGGAGAGGGTATTTCCTTTCTTGATGTGTGTTAATTTCAATACAATTAAACTTTACGTGATCTCGTTTAGAGTTTACTCTTTTATTGCGGCTTGAACTTAAAAGTTGGAATATTTCTTCTGACGGGTATCTTCACAACTAGGATAGTATTATGGGTAGTATCATGGGTAGTATTAATAAGGGTGGAATTAGCATACCTGGGGAGAAACATGTTGGGATTATTACTTAAACTCTTATGATAAAGTAAAGGGAATAGTTGTTGTAGTGGCACAGGCAACGTCTTCATGGGTGATCTTGTGGGGATCTCTATTAGGTGCTGTATACGAGTAAATCATGGGAGGGTGGCAAATTGGATATTTCATCGCTAGTGGAAGGATTTGATAGGGATAAGGAGTTCGTTTATGAAAAGGGGATGACAAGTGTTGTTGATAAAATCGAAGATGTTGTAGCGGGCTGGTATTATGGGAAAAATCACAGTTGAAACCCTTTAAATAATGTCCTTTCCTGCGCAGGAAGGGACATGGCACCATATGTTTCGGAGTTGGAGTATTATAAATTGATGGCTATAAATTTATGAATGCTTAGCCCTATCCTTACCCTGACTCTAACCGCACAAATCTATATCCAAAATTTCAACTAACTCACTTTCCCTAGACACTCAACGGTTTACAGTGGTTAACCCAACCGGAGATATTACTTGTATTTTGTCAACCACTTTTGCGATTAAATAGTACGTAATACTGTGCTGATTTCTCACCAGCACGTTTATGATAAATATTAGATTTAAGTGCTGGAAGTTCCTGGCAATTCAGATGAAAAGTGTAATACACCCTTTCGATAATTACGTCATTTGGCCTGGGAGACTCGCTCTCATAATCGTGAGCCAATCCAGGCCTTAAAATATCGGTCGGTCACGGACATTGTCCGACCCATTCGTGAAATTGTCCGACGTAGAGAGGAAACTACCGACATTCTGTCCGACCTAAGTGAAACTGAGGTTTATTGTTTGTCCGACCCGAGTGTATTGGTGTCCTACGGAACTGTAGCTTTGTCCGACGAAAATCAAAATGTACCCTAGCCCAGGGCTAGAGGCTTGTATGTTAAATGGAAAATCACAGTACTGTTGTATAAAAGGTGAACTGGAAATGTAAGTTGTTTTAACGTAGTCGAGCGCAGGACGGCGAGCGAAATGGTGAAATGGAAAACGGGCTTAAGTTGTAGAAGTCTTTTTAATACTGCTGTTCTGAAAAGCAAGTTAATTTTGACTTGGAAATAAGTGTGAAAGAAACAAATTATTTAATATCTTTACAACATTTACCGTTCAGAATTAATACATTGTGCTGATATTCATTTGTGTCATTCAGACTTATTTCCGAGTCAAAACTGAACTGAAGGTCATCGGACATATGTCCGACCCAAACTTAACGTCACCGGACATTGTCAGACGGGCCTGTAAAAGATCTTTTAAGGCCTGCAATCACCCTGCGTAATTTACTAATGAGAGCGTGACTCCAAGACCGAAAAGTATGTGTGACGTAATTATCGAAAGGGTGTATTGCATTCGAAAATACTGTTCCAAGTGCATCTAGTAATTGTCATTCAGTAATTTTTTTTAAATCCACCCGCACGGATTTTTTACTGCTACTGATGATAAACGGGACATTTCCTACGGTACATGGCCTAATCGTACTAAGCACATCAACTGCATGATTTTGCTTTATTTAATTGGAAATACTGACCTAAAAACGAAGCTGCATCAATATACCAGAGAACAAATGTCTGTAGTCTTTTGTGGTACTTCCTAAAATTTGGAGTTGTGACATCTGCCTAAAAACAAATAACATACAGTGCAACCAAAAGAAAGAACGTTGTAGGGTATGACGTCACCTCATAAATGCAATTATACGTGCATCCATCTTAATAGTGTGTGAATGTATAGACTATAGAATGGTGTAACAAATGTTACATGGCAAATGCACTTTTATCCAATCTGGGACACCTGATTTTCAAAATTTTCTGGGGGAGCATGGATCCCCCTGGTACAGTATGTAGTGCCCCTTTTTGGCATCTGTATTTACCTTAGGATCCGACCATTGATGCATGTTATCTAAAATAGTTTTATGTTATATTCCCCGAGCCAACGGCGCGAAGCGCCGTGCGAGGGTACTAATTCCGCCCAGCTATTTACACCTGGGGAAACGAAAGCATTAGCGAAGTGTAAAGCATTGGTGTAAAGTTCATCAATGACCGCGGGCGTGGCTCACTGTGCGTGCTGGGTGGGTTGTCATCCTCACTGATCTCAAAAATATGGCGGACTGTCATGAATAGTGAACACTGATTGGTCAAATTTAAAATTTGCATTATAACGTCTAACGATTGCATGACGACAGCGAAATACCAAACCACAGAATAGATACTAGACCAGAAGGGTCACTCAGACGATATTTCGTCCCAAATTTTACGAGTGCTGACGTAAGAATGCGCCATCATATGACGCCATCCTGGAGTGCACAAGGAAGTTTTTCATAAGACAAACATAGGTACAAAGTGCCATGTGCACTCCAGGATGACGTCATAGCACGTAAAAAATTTCGGACGTTTTTCCCAAGCCAAAACACATCTGCAACAGATCTGTTAAAACCTGTTGTCAACAATATATCCAGATATCGGTTGTCAACAACCGATATCTGGATGCGTTCGCTCGCCTTGTACACACGTAAAAATCTCACATCTTGTAACAAGTCGGCCAACAAGCCGTCAACAAGATGTATTCGCACTGCTTGTCACAAGTTGTTAACAGGTTTGGAACAAAGTGTTGACAACTTGTAACAACCTTGTCGAAATTATCAGACTTGTTGCAAGGTTGTTCTGACAAGTCCGTTACATGCTTGATATAACACGATTGTTACAACCTTGTGTTGACAACCTTGTAACATCCTTGTTATATCATGGCTGTAACAAACTTGTTAGCACAGTCTTGTAACAAGGCTAATAATGCCATCAAGCTTGTTACAAGTTGTTAACAGCTTGTTTCAAACTTGTTACAACAAACTGGGAACAAGCAGTGCGAACACAACTTGTTGACAGCTTGTGAACAGACGTGTAACAACTTGTTTGCAGACTCGTTACAACTTGTGCGTTTTTACGTGTGTACCTGTCTGTTCTGACAGGTCCGCAACTGCCTGTCAACAGGTCTGTTACAAGCTGTTGTGACAGAGTTGCAGCAATGCTGTTTTCAACAGGTATGTTACAAGCTGTTGTGACAGAGCTGCAGCAATGCTGTTTTCAACAGGCCTGTCGCAAGTTGTTGACACAGAGCTGCAGCAATGCTGTTTTCAACAACTTGTGACAGACCTGTTGCAAACCGAGGAAAGCGCCCATTATGAAGCTTGTGTATCCACTATTTTGAACAAAAAACGGCCAAACAGGTTGACATATTCATGTATTAAAACACTTATAAACAAATTTGCGAGATAATTTTTGAGCAAAGCAGCCGAAAAAATACGACAAATTAAAGAAAGGTTCTTACCGTAAACAATTTTCAAAATTAATTGGTCTTTAAGTACGACTGAAATATGACAACCTACTTGCATATTTTTCTTCAAAATAGTACCACAGAGTAGAGACATACTGAGACGTAACTGACCGTTGTAAACACTGCGGAAGCTTACGTTTTCATGTACCCACTTTTTTTTCAGGCGACCGGGCAAAAAATGATCAACTGCGCGTGCTCAGCAAGTTTAAAGTGAGTCGTCATCAGGTCGTCATCCAATCAGATGCATGCATCTAGTAACTTGCCGAGCATACGCACTAAAAAAAGTAGGTATACTAGTTACGTCTCTGTATGTCTCTACTCTGTGATAGTACATACAATAACACAAAGCTTCAATAAGGCGTCTTCCTCACTCGCAGATTTCACTTGAAATTGGAAAGAAATTATGTAACGAATTTCATATTCGTATCAACAATGAAGAACGTTGCAGTGAACACTTGTGTTCTCATTGCCACAGTTTCTTCAAAAATCAAAACAGCTTTGAACATGTTTGATTTTGTTTGAGGCAGTTGTTGAAATTTTGTTTGGCTCGTAAATTCAAAAACAACTAAACATGATTACGTGATTGATATGTTTGTATAATATTTCGTCCAATTGCAACGAGGAACGATGACGTATGCACACGCCTTTATCCAATTAGATTTAAGAAATATAGCGATAGCACACGTCAACAAATTGGAATTTGGATTTTGGAAATCGGAATTATTTTTTTAAAAATAAAACAGCGGCTTTTGCATTTAATCAGAGAATAGACACTATAGTCTATAGTCTCTCCTATGTGATTTAATATTGCCACCAATGACAATGATTGAATGAGAAAGTAACGCCTGAAGTGTCCATTTCGTGCGATTTTTCTCTTTACTCACATTTTCGATTTGTTTCCCTACAACAGGCTTGTTGAAACTTGTTGTGACAGGACAAAAATTGTTTGTTGTGGACAGGTTTGTCGCAGGTCTGATAACAAGCTTGCTGCAGACTTGACAAAAACAACTCGCGACAGGTCTGTTGGAACAAGTTGTAACAGACCTGTTGATTTCAACAGACTTGCTGCAAGTTGTTCTATCAGACCTGTTATCTCTTGTTAGTAACAGGTTTGTAGCGGGTTGTTTCAACAAGTCGCTACGTCTCTGTTGTCAACAGCTTGCGACAGACCTGTTCCCGCAAGCCTGTTACCGCCTGACGAAACCAACAGACCTGTCGCGACTTGTTGACAAGTTGCCGCAAGCCCTCTCTCCTCCGCAGAGGCTTACATGAAGTTTCTAGTGAGGGAAAAGTGAGCGCGCAAGGAGTGATGGGAAGAGCTAAATAAAGGAAGCATTACCATGACAACTACTTTAAATACGTCATGTTCGGAAAATACGTTTTGTCAGCAAGGCGAGGGGTTTCTGCATGCATGTATTTTCTAGTCCTAAACGTAAAAAGATTCTCAGTGCACTAAAATAATTTTTGTCTGTTAACATACTGTATACCATGACATCAGGTTTGACAACTTGTTAGTGTCGCTTTACTTGATTAGTCCCAGAACATTTTTCGATTTTTCTCTCCGGGCACAGAATAACAATTTAACCAGAAGCTCCACTCTCCACATTACACTTGTTTAGCTATCTGAAACGAGCGCGGCCAAGCCATACAAATTTATACAACGCACTCGTTTCCAGATTGGTAAACAAGTCATGTAATCAGCTTTTTGATATGTCGAGAGTGGGACCTCTGGTTAAATTGTTATTCTGTGCTCAGGGTGTTAGCTTCATTCGAAAATTCCGCGTTAAACGCGGTTTTCCTTGATGTCGCAATTTCCCAATTTACAATAGGTCAGTCAAAAAATAGTTGTTATAAATATTCAATTATTTTTTCCCATAATTTCGGTTAAACGCGGATTTTTTTACCCTGTCTCTCGCAGTCCGAGTCCCATTTTCCACCCCTGCTAATGATCGCAATCAAATCTTATCGTAATATTAGACATGAATACGTTAAAGCGACCATGTATTGAATAAAAAGCACATATACCCAGTGGCGTAGCCAGCCCGACGATTTGGTCGTGCTCTGCAAATTTCAACTCATTATCATTATTCATTTGTTTAGAAATTGATTGTGTTGATACCTTATAAACATGGAAATACTTGCATAGCGGGACTGAATCGTCGGGCTAGCTACGCCACTGCATATACCTTGTATACTTGATATGTTTGCTCTGCAACTGTGTAGCTTTGGATAATTTCTCCCATGGGAATAAATTTCTCTTCTTCAGAAGTTTTGATATAAACTGATCCAAATTACTGCAACAACCTTCAGACACAAGGGCAGGAACAGGTGAGTTCACCATGAGAAAGAAACATGTGAGTTCCAGTTCAACACGAACAGGAAAGAAACATGTGAGTTCAACACGAACACAGGAAAGAAACATGTGAGTTCAACACGAAAAGAAGAGAAATATGTGAGTTCAACACGAACAGGAAAGAAATATGTGAGTTCAACACGAACAGGAAAGAAACATGCGAGTTTAACACGCAAGAAGAGAAATATGTGAGTTCAACACGAAAAGGAGAGGCACATGTGAGTTCAACACGAACAGGAGAGAACTGACATGTGAGTTTAACACGAAAAGAAGAGAAATGTGTGAGTTCAACACGAACAGGAGAGAAACATGTGAGTTCAACACGAACAGGAGAGAAACATGTGAGTTCAACACGAAAAGGAGAGAAACATGTGAGTTCAATATAAAAAGAAGAGAAACATGTTAGTTCAACACGAAAAGGAGAGAAACATGTGAATTCAACATGAAAAGGAGAGAAACATGCGACTTCAATATAAAAAGGAGAGAAACATGTAAGTTCAACACGAAAAGGAGAGAAGCATGTATGTTCAATACGAAAACGAAAGAAACATGTACCTGTAAGTTGAAGACGAAAAGGAGAGAAACATACGAGTTCAATAACTTTAAGAGAAACATGCAGAGCCTGAAATAACGGCCGGCGGCCGGCGGTTTTCCGACCAAATTCCGATTTTTCCGACCAAATGCTGAAATGATCGGAAATTTTGTCCGGCCAAATTTTGAGAAAAAGAAAAATGTTTTCTTAATGATCGGGTCGGCGCTCAGCACAGTGAGTACCATCTGTAAGTTTGGATTATCTATATTAGGCTAATATAAAGTAATCAACTGGAAAGTATAGTTCACGGGCAGCCTAGTCCCTGGCCTTCCAAGCGCGGGCGAGTTACAGGCTGTCATGAACTTGCGGGCTGTCAGTTTCCCCAGTCTCCAAATAATACAGCTTTATCACGGTCAACCTGCAAACCTTATCAATTTCCCCCTAAAATAATGAGGCGGAAGCGAGAAGGCCAGGAACTAGGCTGGTTCACGGGCTCAATAAACAAGGTGGCTTACAGCGTGGTGTTGTCGTGAAAATGTGAGGTGAGTCTTAATAATTTGCAATTTAAATCACCCGGCTCACGACCATTTTGAATTTTCGCTACAGTTACAATTACCTTACACAATTGCAAGTAGAGTGATTTACTCAGTGCACGTCTGCATGCTTGACAGAGTTTGCTCATTGGGGGGGGGGGAGTGGACTTTGTCAAACTAAACTAAAAAAAAGTTCCGGTCAATTTTGCAAATTTCCGGTCAAATTTCGTTTTGATCGGAAGTTTTTCCGGACAAATTTTAAAATTATTTCAGGCTCTGAACATGTACGTTCAACATGAAAAGGAGAGAAGGCATGTAAGTTCAATATAAACAAGAGAAACATGTGAGTTCAATACGAAATGGAAAGGAACAAGTAAGTTGAAACATACTGTACATATAGGAATATATACGGTAAATAGAGCAATATAAAGTACACAGACTAAGCTGATGAAATCAGTACAACATAATATGACAATATGTACGACACAGTACTGTAAATATTGTACACACTACTGTAAATATTGTACTTGAACAGTGGGTACCAGTTTTAGGTAGCAAATAATACGAACTGTGAACTTGGGTATTTGATGCAATTACCTGAAAAATACAATAACAACTTCAAAGAACTTTATATTTTTCAGCTAAATGCATCACCTACATAAGTTCGTAGTTTAAATTGTACAATTTAAACATTTAGCACCGTAGGCGTAGTTTGAACACATGTACTGTAGAATACTTTAGAATATACAATATATACACCGCAATGTACCTGGAGCCAAGAAGTCAGCAACTTTAGAAATTATGTCATCAGGCTACATATTAAACAAAAAATTAAACATTTATATATGTATATCCTCAAATAAGGGATGGATTTACGGGGGATGGGGTGTGCGGAGGGTGTGCTATTTTTCATGATGACGCAAAAATATCAGAGACAAAATGAGATACAGTAATTTGAGTAATAACATGATAAGCGAACTGCAAACAATTATAGTTCAACTACAGTAGTGAAGCAAGTACTGCTGTATGTTAATGGGAGGGTGGCGCACGTGACCGACACAACTCTGCACCAGAGCTGGCAGAGCACCCCCCCCCCCTACCAGATCATGCTGTATCCATCCCTGCCTCCAATTTCCCGGCTTAAACTTTTCCCAAGGTGAAGACATGTAAATGTAGAATTCCTCAGGCTCAACTACAATCTTTGACATAACTGGTTGAGACTATTTTCCCTCTATAGAAAATTCGCGTATTTTTATGATAAACTCCATGTTGAATCATGTTGCCCTTCTTAAGCCCCCGCTCCCCCAACTCAATGTTGAGCTTATATCATGGTATATTACCAATTAAAGTGCCTATATCATGGTTTTGGAGTTTGCATATCTCGGTACCCGGACATTTTGCCGAAAGACACTTTGCCGAAAGACATTTTGCCGAAAGACATTTTGCGGAACGGACATTTTGCCGAACGGACGTTTTGCCGAATGGACATTTTGCCGAACGGACATTTTGCCGAATGGACAGTTTGCCGAAAGGACAACTTACCGAAAATAGAGATGCTATATTTCGTCAAAATGTTTGGGACTGTGCCTCATTTCTCAACCTTGTAATTCTCAACCATTGTGTAAAATAACCATTATATGGTCATTAGCAGTGCATAATGGTCGTTAGCAGTACATAACCATATTGACTATTGGTAGCTTGTTTCTGCAGCGGATGACTCGTTTGGTAAGCCGGTTTTCCACTAGGCGGAATTTTGCGCGCGGAGCGGAATCTTTCTTTGTCTTTTCTAATTAGTTCCACCTGAGGAATCACAAGACAAAGAAAAATTCCGCTCCGCGCGCAAAATTCCGCCTAATGGAAAACCGGCTTTAGCAACGTGTTTTGACGTCAGGTCGTAAACAAACAAGCGTATGCAAAGACAACGACGTCAGCGAATTTCACTTCGAGAATCATGGAAATATGGAATACATTCACAGTTTTCCGCGGGAAAATCGCATTCTTCAATGATGTTGAATGATGTTATTCTTTATATCGCGAAATTTCGGTAAATTTGTCAAAAACTTGAAAGAATATAAAACGAAACTATACTTCACTATCAAAGTTTCTGCCATCAAAATCGACAATGACTTTAATCACAGAAAATTTGACCGTGTAAACGAACCTACAGTATAAAGTTCAGAAGATATCTCTATTTTCGGCAAACTGTCCGTTCGGCAAACTGTCCGTTCGGCAAAATGTCCGTTCGGCAAAACGTCCGTCGGCAAAATGTCCGTTCGGCAAAATGTCTTTCGGCAAAATGTCTTTCGGCAAAGTGTCTTTCGGCAAACTGTCTGGCCACCGCATATCTCGAAAGTTTAGGGTATTTTAAGACACTTTCCAATATATTTTGTTATTGAAAAATTTCATCTTGATGGATTTATTAGCTCTTGATGGATTTATAAGTTACCGGACATAACGTCAAAAGGAGAATTGCAAATCAGTTCTCCTTTGTATCATTGCAACAAAATTCTCCTTTTGACGTCATGTCCGGTAACTTTAAGAGCTAATATTAAATCCATCAAGAAGAAATTTTTCAATAACAAAATATATTGCAAAGTGTCTTACTGTCGATGCAATGCATGGAAGTGTTGATAAAATATTGCATGAATTCATTTCCTCAAGTTGATCAATTCTTACGAATTCAAATTTCTTTTTACTTCCTGTGCGTTTCCTATTGGTCAATCGGTTCTGAAACGAAATCTAATTGGCTCATCCAAAAGTAACAGGAAGTTGATCAATTTTCTATCAAATAAATTGATCAACTTGAGGAAAGGAATTGGTGCAATATTTTATCAACACTTCCATTGTATCGACAGTAAAATACCCTAAACTTTCAAGATATGCAAACTCCAAAACCATGATACAGCCACTTTAAGTTGTTTCGGTGTTGTTCACAACATTGAACTGGGGGGGGGGGAGACAAAGATTGTTTTGTCAATGTTCAATAACTTTGTGAATATTAGCTGGAATGGTCTCAAGGGTTTTGTCCAAGATTGTAGCTCAAACACCACCGCTCAGAAACCACTTCAAAAGTGTATTGTATAAAATAGCCCCAAAGACCTACAATGTTGATCAATTTGTTCACTGTCAAAGTTACTGAATACAATGCCATTAGCAAGAAATTAAAATTTTTAAATAAATAGCAGTTCATCACATTCAGGCCCGTTCTACAGAACATTTACAAAATAAATAAAAATATTGTTTCCACCAAACACTTAACAAATAATCTTGTATCATATCTGTTGTTTGTACCTCAACTCCTTCAGAGAATGATTTATCAACCATTCCATCATATTTAACACCAAGGTATGTCAACAAACTGCCAGCATGGTAGTATAACTAGAATTTTTAACACGAAGCAATCTCAAAAGAAGTACAGTAGTATTATTTAACAATTGAGAATTCTACAAAGTTTTAAACACAGCAGTTCTAAAAAGAAATAAGTAGAATACCCAAATGGACAATATCCAGCACCAACGAGATATAAAGTCCCGTGCAAGGTGCTTACCATTCTAAAACTATACAAAACAATAAAATAGAACACAATACAATACAATACAAACAAGCACAAACATCAAACATAATTATTTACTAAGTTCCATGACATGGACAGTCACGCACTAATGACCACGTACATGGCATTTCTATGTCGAACATTGTCCCAAGCAAGTGTTTATATGTGCTTCTAATGTTTCTTTTAAACGAGGAGAGGATGGCGAAGGCCGAAGGTGGTAGGAGCTAGAACTTTACAGGTATAGTTCCATATTTTAACTTGTCGGTTGAAATAGGATGCTTTGAATGTGTTGGATTTACAGTAGGGGACTTTAAGGGTGAGGGATGGATTTTGACAGAGTTATTGGAAAAGGAGACAAAGGTGTTGACGTCCAAATCTGTGTTGCCAGAAAGAGCCTTGAAGATCAAGGGAGAGTAAGTTCAGATTCATTAGCCGTTCTTGATATGTCATTTTGCCATGCTTGGAATGTAGTATCCACGCGGTGGCTCTTCTTTGGACGCTTTCGACTGTAGACCTGAGTTTGACAGTGTGTGGAGACCAGACTTCACTAGCGTAACATGGGTGATATCTATAACAAGCGAGAGATACAGCGTTCGTCGTACTGTTTTGTCTCTCAAAAGAGGGCAAGTTCGTTTCAGCGGCCGAAGCATCTTGTTAGCGTTACCAGTGATTGTGTGGATGTGAACATCCCAATTGAAGTTGGCACTGACGCAAACACCAAGGTCTTTCTCTTTATCCACACGCAAGAGTTCCTTTGAATTCATGTGGTAGACATACACGAGGGGAGTCTTTTTTCGTGTGATGGTCAGCACCTTACATTTCGACTGGTTGAAATATAGGTTGTTATCACGGCTCCAACATTCAAGGCTGGTCAAAGCGTGTTCTAGAATTTTACAGTCAGCTTCCGATTTAATAGATTTGTACACTTGGTGTCATCTGCATACAATGCTGCCGAGGTCTTGTCTGGTAGTACATTAGGAAGATCATTTATAAAGATCCCAAACAGAACAGGCCCTAGGATACTTCCTTGTGGCACACCAGATGTTACAGGTGCCCAGGAAGATGCAACTCCGTCTACCACAACTTGTTGCATACAATAGGCAATTCCATCTATTAATTTCTGCGCGCAGAGGAGGATGGGAAGTAAGGTAACATATTGTTGATTATGCTGAAAAAATAAAAATGACGGCCGTGTAACCACGGAGTGATAGCTTATACTTGTAAATATTGAAATATTTCGGTTGTTTCGGCAGTTTTTATTGAAATGTTTCAGCATAATCAGCAATATGATACCTTACTTCCCATCACCCCCTGCGTGCATAAATTAAAAGCTGGAATTGCCTATTGTCCTGACACACCATAGAGTTTAAGTTGGTGGAGAAGAATATTGTGGTCAACAGAGTCAAATGCCTTTGGAAAATCTAGGTAAATGAAACAGGTGGACAATTTGTCGTCGCTGACCAAAACATCGCGGGCAGAAACAAAGCTCCATTGCAATTACATTCAAAAAAGTTAGCAAGAAGCTGTTTTAGCTGACGATTTTTTGCTTTCCATTCAAACGATTTACAAATCAACCCCGTACCCAGGCTCTTTCCACTACGCGCCTCGCGGCGAAGAGCCTGGGTACGAGGTTGTTTACAAATTAACGATTATTCTTTTAAAAATCGATCATGAATTCCTTGTTTTGAGATCGTTTTCGTAGCGCTTTGCATTGTGGTTGTAGTGGTATCACTGATATTCAAGATAGCTTATTTTTTGTCCTGACCCATGCAAGAACTTTTAAAGCTTTTAAAGCTAGGGTCAGGTGTGCGATAGCCAACAGCAAAATATTTGCGAAAACATTCAATATTTTCATATATCTTTATCAGTGATACCACTATAACCACAATGCAAAGCGCTACGAAAACGTAATAAGGGGAAAGGTCTATTGAGTGATTGGAAAAAGTGAATATGGCAACGTGAACATCGGAGCAAATACCGTATATACGTCGAGCAATGGCTTGCTTAAAACAGTGATAATCGAAGAAAAACGTGATATGAGAATGAAATCTAAGTTGAAATTAATTTTATATGCCTCAAATTTTCCATCCTATGTGTTTCTTAATGTAACTTCAGCAGTCTAAGTTCAAAATACAAGCTCGCGAAATTTGACGAATTTTGAAACTATGTAAAAATAGCTTGACTTTGAACTGTATTTTCTTAAAAATAGCCCGTGGCTTCAATTTCAAATATAGCTAAATGAAAAGAAAAAACTTTTCGACGTTTGAAGGTACAGTAAGTATAGAGGCTCACGATATTTTAGCTAAGTCTTTGAGACCCAATTGCTTCGCACGTGTTGTGGTCAAATTTTTGCCAAGAATCAAAGGCCGAAAAGTGAACTTCCTTCATGAAAACCGCCTCGTGAAGGGTCTAGTTTGAATATTTAGTTCTTAATTTCGATTTCATGAGCATGTTTTAGTTACACGTTAATTAAATATTTTTGTACTTGATGAGATTCAAAATTTGTTGTATATTCAAGTCCGGCTTCAGTGTAATTTTGGTGATGACCGGAAAAGAAATGAAGATATTTTAAAAACTGGTCAACTGGCCGTGGCCTCACGATAAAACGTTCTAAAAATGTTCTCTGTTTCATGTATTTTTATTTTATATCTTAGTTATAAGCGTAAAAATAGGGGCTCATACAGTTTACAAGGTTATAAAATGCATGACTTGCCTCTATTTTCATGTAAACATTCGAAATGTTTCGACAGCAAAGTAGCAACTGTTTCAGATCGAATGCACACGGACAGCACACCAGGGACAATGGCAGGGTGCTGAAATAGAACGTCACTAAAAAATTCTGTATGATTAATTTAGATCATGTCCATTTTCAACATAAAACAGTCATTTATTTTGTACCAAACATTTAGACTGTGGTATAAACTTGCGATTTGCGAAGTTGCTGTTTCCATGTCGAAATTCCTTGTAAAATTGTTCAATTTTCCCGAATTTTCCTCAAAATGCATGGTTGTTTATGGATAATTTGGGTAAAATTGGCAGGAACCTTATGGATAATTGGGGGGGGGGAAATTAGGCAACTCATTAATATTCTATTTTGTTGGCTATCGACGATTGGAGAACAGAGCCGAAACCTATACTCGCCTGGGCACAGGTGCCCCAGCGAGTAATAAACCTGTTCTTTCATCTTTCGCCGGAAATCTAATTTTTAAATTTCCAATTCGATTAATCGCTCTCTATAACCGATATCGACAGGATAATTTAAAATGAACTTTGTAGCTCGTCGCTGTACTCCTTCTAACACAAGCTGATATTTCATTTTCGAAGGCGGCCACAATTCTGACGAGTACTCCAGCATTGGTCTAACTATTGTTAGGTAAAGCAATTTCCTTATAGACTGATCACGAATATCTTTACACGTACGCTATATCTTTGCAACACTTTGCACTCTCCAAGATAAATAATTTCAAACCACTTGTACAGTGCACCATTTGAAACCATATTTTTCTCAACTTGGCAAGCAGTAGTGGGTGGGATACTTTGTCAAATGCTTTTTGAAGTCAAGATGAATAACGTCGACGGAATTCTTATTATGCAATGCCTCCAAAATCTTATGGTACACTTGAATTGGTAGTACAATTTCTGCCTCGCAAAAAACCGTGTTGCATATTGTACACAATTCCAGAAAACGACTCGTAGCAGCGACTATATATACATCTTTCTAATCTTTTTTAAGCCACTGCACACATAACAGAGATATAGGTCTGTAGTTCTGAACACAATGAACGTCACCAGATTTCGGAACCGGTGTGATATTAGCCTGTTTCCATAGAGCCGGAACGTTTCCTAGCTTTAAAGATAAGTTAAAGAGGCATGTCACACAGTGATGGTGCAATTTCACTAGCAACTGTTTTGAGAAGCCTGGGCGATATTTCGTCAGCCCCCCCCGATTTAAATTGATGTACATTAAGTAAATGACTCAAGACTTCTTCTTCACTTAATATGATTTGATTGAGAGTGGCATTTTCTTCAGAATTCTCTACATCCGAGTCATATGGCTCAGAACATTCCTCATTGAGTGACTGAGTGTTATATTGGAAAGCTCCTCAATTTCGAACGGATGCAGCAGAGCTGTTCTGGAGCTACCATAAAGCTATTATACACCACCGAGCGAATCTGCATCACGAAATAATGTTCGACAAAGTTACTGCTAAGTCTGCGAAAGATAAAGCTACACTTTTCAACGCGTACTTCTCTTCCATATTTCGTTCACCTACCACAGATTCAAAATCAGAATAAAACACTCAATGCAGAAGAAGTTGTACGAGGTTTGTGCTACCTTGACACATCCAAAGCGTGTGGCCTCTACAACATTCCAACTCGTCTTCTGCACGAATGCAGCTTCCAAGTTCAGGGCTGCAAATTACTGTCAGACATCGGACAATGTCCGACTAAATTCGGCAAATGTCCAAGCAAAAGTAATTTTGATCGGACATTGGTCCGATCACAAAAAAAAATTGTCACATTATACATTTTTTGCTGTGACAAAATCCGATTGCAAATTCACTCAATTTGCAGTTTGCAATAAAATTTACGAGGCATTCTAGCATTTTACTTAACGTTGCGCCGGAATGGCTATACATACTTGTCTCGTGACTTATATATATCTTGTGACGTATATATGTCCGACCAAATTTAGTGATGTTGGTTTTTGTCCGACCAAATTCAAGTTATGTCCGACCAAAATTAAAAGTGATCGGACAAATGTCCTGTCAAGTCAAATATTTATTTGCAGCCCTCAAGTTGCACCCAGTATTTGTGAACGATTCAATCATTCGCAGATCACTGGTCAGATCCACACTGGTCAAATCCCATCTGAATGGAGACATGCCAATGTTACGCCTGTCCACAAGAAAGATCGTAAAGAACCAGCAGCAGTGGCGGAAACTACGGGAGGCAAGGGGGCGATCGCCGCCCCCGCCCCCAATAATTTTAGCTACTGTAGCTTTCATTTTGAAAATTGTAACGTGCGTGCCACGCGCTATACCTGGCCAATAAGGAGCTCCTGAGGTGCACGTTTACCTTTAGAATCGATTTCTGGGCCTCTGGCATTTCCAGAGTCATACGATACAAACGTCGCATTGTTTTGACGTTTTGAAATTGTATTTCCGGTTGGGATTAGCTCACAGTCGGACCAGAAATGGAAATACCGTGATAAAGATGCCAATTTGAAGGTACTGTATAGGCTTGAAAATTACACTCTAAATAGTGTTTGTGATAGTGATTCGAACAAGACTATTTCAAAGAAGATAAGTGCGAAGATACGTCCCAGATCTAAAGTTATGTTCGGGAAAGATATGGATAGTCTATGTTATTACGATCTCGCTTGACTTTCAAAGGCCATAAATCGCTACAATGTTGGCAATGACAAACTACAGTATCGTGGGGAATTAGTTGATATTGTTTCACTGAATCGAATGGTGGTATTATTGTCTTCATAGCATGCACTGAACCGAAAATAAAACATGCAAAGTCGTCAGCTTCTAGTAGTTGACATGCGTGGGACTTGTCGAGAAAGAGTTAAACCACCTTACAATTCCATTCACGAATGATTTTCTCTGAAATGTCGTTTTTTTCATGCTTAGCATATGATTTATAACAAAATGCACCATTAAATTAATGTTTTGAAAACATCAAATTTCTGCATATAATAACAAAATGTGCTCTCAGAATGCTGCAAATGCCATTTCAGGGATCCAAATTTAAAAACGTTTCTTTGGCCGGAGCATTCCCCCATAACATACCCCCTAGAAATCTCGTGCTTTCGGCACTCGCCCCCCCCCCCCCGAATATTTCGCAAAGTTTCCACCACTGAGCAGCAGAAAATTATAGACCTATCTCTTTGCTTCCCATCGTTGGAAAAGTTCTGGAATAAACGAGTCAGGATTTGATAAGAGTTTTGGGATGGCTTGGTACTGTAACTTGTTTGTTTGTTTGTTTTAATGTTCTGAATGATCCATGTGGTATTGGTCCACAGACGTCGGGTCTGCATTTTGTCATTTCCCCCTATATACTGTATGCTGCCTGCTGGATACAGTATAAGAATCTTATTATAATTGTATATCTGTTGGCTTGTACACCACGTATGTATTATTGCAACTAGCACATTCATTTAATACATACATACATACAGTACATGTATGTGGTTTTTTCACAAGAGAATCTTGTTTTATTGTCATGCAAACTTTCAAGGAACATTATATAAAACGTCTCTTAATTAACAAATGCATGCCGGAACAATTTGCTTTTTAAATAAAAACTAGAAAATACCTGAACTTCCAAGTTTTTGTATCCAAAAATCACTTCACTTAAAAGAAAAGAAAATAATACTCATAAGATATGAATGAATCCAACAAGTTTTAAATATCTATCTTCAAATGTTCAGAATTTTTTTTTATACCTATCACCAAAGACCTGATGTGACATGTCAGGATGAAAGCTTTTGTCTTGGTCAAACACATCCTTTTCATTTGTAACTAAAAACAATTGACATACTGTATTATCAACAAAATATTTATACAGTACAATGATACAGTATACATGCATATTAAGAAGACAATGCCTGTTTCAGTCCATTGTGGCTTAATGAGTTAATTATTGATTCTGCTTCCACACCCGAAATGCAGTAAGTTGCACTGTGTGTCTCTCATGCTTAATCTCAGTCATATCTGAGATTCACCCATGCTAATAACACATAATAATACAGTCCACGCACAGAACCTCAATTACATTATTTGTCTGCACAAAGGGCATTCTCTTATTTTTTTCTCTTATTAATCAGATTGACTGTACTACTTTTTTCTCTAGACAATTATCTTCAAATCTAGCAATTATTCAGAGAAAACTCAGTCTGACTCTCGATTAAACTGAGTCATTCCAGAAAAACATCCACATTTGTGCCACAGCGGAAGTTAACCTCCCACCCCATTTGGTTGTTTTAGTACATTTTACTATTATCAGAATTGGAATCCCCCCCCCCCTCCCCTCCAGATGGCAGAAATGTCCTCTGTAAAAGGAGTGTAGATCTTTACTGGAATGACCCATCAAGAAAATTACCAAAAAAGGCTAGTATTTCTGTGTAAACAAATGGAAATTGGCCAATAAGGCTACCATACTACAATCAAGGGTGGGTTGACTACAAAATTTTTGTAGTTCGCTATAACTACAGCTACTTCAAAAAGATGTAGTCAGCTACAACTACTGCCACTTTTGTACAAAGGTAGTTCGCTACTGACTACAGCTACTGCTTGAAAAATGTAGCGAACTATTTCGCTATCTTGCTATGCTATAATTTTTAGTTTTACTGTATTTGGAGCATCTACTAACTCAGGCTGTAATGTAACCTATAACAAATCGACTTACGAGTAGCAACAACAAACACAAAGCAACATTTTTGTAAGCACTACAGTGTTCAGGAGTGCAAATTGACTATTGAGTATTGATTTTAAGCAAACCGTGTCTCAATATCATGCTATTCTATCAAGTTGCTAACAATTTAAAAAGTAGCGAACAGCGATTCGCTGTTTGAAAAGAAGTCAACTACTTGGCTACTTTTAGGCAAAATGTAGTTCGCTATAACTAAAGCTACTGTTTGGAAAAAGTAGTCAAAAACTACTGGCTACTTGAAAATTGTAGTTCGCTACAGTAGCGAACTACAACTACTTCGCTACTACCCATTCTTGACTACAATATGTCATGATAAATCAATTGCCTGTATTTTTTACACTATAGGATACTATTGTATGATATGGAGATTCTATATAGTCGATCAATTTTATTAAAAACAATAAAGATTGATTAAATTGGTCCAAATTGTATGCGACTATCGATCGGTCATCAATTGCAAATAACAATCTATATCAATTGACTATACTGGCATCGATTGACATTGTTTTATCGATTGGATTCCAATGATCGATTTTCGAATATTAGGCCAGTCCAAATTGGATTTAGTTTCCCGTCCAGCCCTTATTTGAAATTACACATGGGTGGGCAGTCCATTGTCCATTATGGTGTCTGAAAGAATTCAACCCATTATTCCATGAAATAGATACACGTTTTAAATATCAATTCAGCCATGCACGTTTGTCGTTTCTATAGAATCTTTTGGATTTTAATTGCGATTTCCTCCTTTTGGAGGATGTGAAGGAATGGATGAGTTATAAATGTTCCAGTTTATGAAATCTCATAACAACATCATTATCACTCCAAGGTTGAGAACAGTGTCAGTTTCTAATTTGATCAATTTCTAAAGTTGAATCTTTTTTTATTTATTTTATTATATTGATTAGGGTTAGGGGTTAGAGTAAGGGTAGGGCATAGCCATTTAATACCTCCTCCATCTTCCGAAAATGCCGCACATCAGTTTGGTACAGTAGATAGAAACAATTAACTGACCAACCTGCCATGTACAGTATATATTGAAATTTTTCTGTATTATAGTATATTTTAGGTACTTTTTGATGAGATGTAATGGACGTATGACTTTTTTGTCCTTATATCATTGTTAAATTTACTTAGGTCATGTAAAAAAATATCCCAGTTAATCATCAGCGCCCATATCCATTTTTCGTTTTTTTTTATTTTTAAAAAATCACAATTTCCGGCAGACCATGCAAGATTTTAACGATGGTCGGCCATTTTGTATATATAAAAAATATCTCAAAATATTAAAGTTTCAATATAATCTTTGTTCTCTGTGTATGATATTGCACTTGGGCCTTGGCAATTGTAATATTATTGAAAAGTGTAATAGCATTGAAAATATTATGCCATACATCTCAAGGGCAGATTTTCATTTAAAAGGAGGGGTAGAAAAATTTCTGGTGGGGTGCAAGCAGCACCACTCAGTAAGCTTCGGGAGGGGTTAGGCATCTGGCTTAAAGCCTTTCACACAAAATAGGAGAGGTGAAGCAAAATTTTGGTGGGGTTGAACACTTTATTAGAGGGGTTAGAGAGATTCTAGGAGGGGGGTTTAACCCCCTCCCCCAGGAAGGGGCTGTTTGCATGATCCCAGTTAGCCGGGATGAGTCGTAAGCCAGGCTGAAATGCCAGCAAGCGAAAATTGGCAGGAAAAACTTGTATATGAGTTAGGTGGTCAGGCATATTTTTTCCACCATGGTCAGGCATATTTTTTCAAGCTTGCCCGGTGTGGATATACACTCAGAGTAACATAACAAGCATCATATTCACCTGAGCACATTACAACAACACAGAAAAATCATTACTAATAGCGTTATGTTTGTCACGAAAGTCAAATTCATGTTTTATTGGATAAAAACTAATTTATCTGCAAGATTAACTTAAGAAATAAGTCATTATTCAGAAAAATATCTATTTCTACAAATATTTTTGTGTTAAACAACGTTTTTGTGGCAGCCCGGGCTAATGACTTCACATGGGCAAATTTCAGCTCAGCTGACTGGACACTGTTTGAGTCAAGTGGGATCCCAGCTAAACAGGTTGGTCCGGTTGTCATGTAAAGTGAAATTGTTTTGTGTTGGAAATTACTATGAAGCCGGACACCCGGTTTAAGCAGGCCAGCCCAGCAAACCGGGCTCATATATTAAAACAGCCTCTTAATCCGCCCACATGATACATCTGTGCTGCGTGTTTGAGCATATTTTTTCCATTCACCTACTAAATGTAATTCGGTAAAAAATCCGCCTGCCCGCACGGGTTTTTTCTTCTGCCACTGATGATAAACTGGGATATTTTTTTACATGGTCCTTTTATATAAAAATATTTACCCAACTTGATGTGAAGGGCTGAATTAGCGTCGCATTTGTACTCTTCTAATTTATTGTTGGCCAGAGTAACTATAAAAACATAACGATTTAATAATGAACATTGAACACTAATAAACTAAAGGCTGTATGTAATAAACGAATAAAATTCGACGAAACACAAAATTTCAACACAACAATACTTGCCTGCCATCTTGAACAGTTTCCCGCGGTTTTTTAGAGAAGAACGTCATGTAATTTGCACATAACGTCTCGTATTGCATGTACCCGGAATTTGCATGGCCCAGTGTCACAGTGATCTCAGTGATCGGTGTATCCCCCGTGAAAATGGCTCTGGGGACGAAAATGTGTATCCCCGTGTTAAACGTGTTTTGTATATCCCCATACTCCTGCATCACTAGGGATGTATGTATCCCCGGTCGGGTGGGGATACTCAAAACACTGAGGGAACGAAACGAATGATAATTTTACCCGAGGCGAATATCCGGTATATGAATACCTTTAATTAACCTTTTTCGTGCCACAATATTTGTAAATACAACAAATATTTGACATTTGTAAAAGATTTACAGTGGGATGGACCATTTATATTTTATACGCAGAACTGCATCACCAAATCTGCCCTCATTTCCTATTCTCGGCGCCAGTTGTCGCCAGTGGAAATTTTCCACTAATATTTCCCCGTGAAGGCCCATTCCCACTCAGGAAAATTTTCCGCGGAAGGAATAAATTGTGAATGTGATTGGCCGACTGAAATTTTCCGTCGGAAAAAAAATCTGGTTGCAACCAGTTTCACAGGCTCTCAGTCATTGAGTATATGTATAGTCAGGGCTCTCTAGCTGAACGTCCCACCGGGCACACGACGTTGTTTCAACGTTGAAATTTGGTAGAAAAAAAGGTTGCGACGTCGACAACCTAATATCTACGTTGCTCTGACGTTGTTTTACAAACATTGGTTCAACAGCAGTCAACAGACGTTAAATTAACGTTCATTCATGGTTAAATGTACGACGTCGATTTGTGAACCAATCTCAACGTTGTTTTAACGTGGATTCAACGTTGAATTATGGTTGACGAGATTGGCAACCTAATTTCAACGTTGTTTCAACGTCGAAACAGTAACGTCGATCCAATTTGTATAGTCAACCCTTTCTCAACGTCTATCCAACGTCTGGAAGGTCATTTCCAACGTTGATTCAACGTTGGATAAACGTCATTTTGCCCGCTGGGGTGGTTGTATCTCTCTCAATCCACAGCTGTTCTCACAACTCGAAATGAGTTCTCTTTTATTGATTCCCTTTTATATAACTATAAGTAGAATTTGTTGACTGTTTTCCACCACAAACTACGTGTTCACAGATGTAGCTGTGTAGGTTTAGTGATTCGAACATGCGAATCATTAAAACGTACCCGAAAATTTACTCCGAGAAATCTACAAAAAAGTGACTGACGCGGTTAGCGCGATTCCCAGTTGCCCACCTACCGCTGAGGCAAGCCTTGCTGCCCTATGCCTGTGCTTGAAACTTGTGCAAGTAGAGTTTTTTGTCCCCCACTAAAAACTAACCCTTAGACTAACAGGCTTATAGACCTTTTATTAGTCGAGCATTTATATCATGACCTTCTGACTCGGGTGAATTGGTCTCTGATCGCAAAAACAATTAGCAATGCAGCTGCGAGTGCTTGCATCTACAGGGCCATAGGAAGCTCTTTTCGATTGGGGGGGCTGAAAGCGAGGGCCGAAGGCCCGAGGAAATTTTTAAATTTAGAGTCTCTAAAATGCCATTTCCTGGACTTTGGGGGAAGATTTAACAGAATTCTGATAGTCAGAAAACAGCGTTTTAGTATGTCGAAATTTACAGGAAAGTATGGGCCAGACTGTAGTATTATAAATGCGCGGCGGGAATTTTCGTCGTAAATGGCAGTTGCGCGGAAATGAAGGCAGAACATTTGAGAAAATTTCGAAAATCTGGAGTCTCTAGATGGTCTGAAATGGCATTTTCAGAGTTTTCTTTCGCAAGACCCAACACGCAAAAGACAAAATAAATCATTAGTTCATCAAAAATGTGCAGATTTTGTGGGATTTTCTTGAAAATGCGCGACAGAAATTTAGCTAAAATTTCTACGCGAGGAACGATCTGGAGTATGAGTAATATCTTCATTCTTTGCAGTTTGTCACAGATTAAATGATAAAGTTTGCATGATTTTGAAAAAAGAATGATTATTAGCAAATTATTGGGGGGGGGCTGCAGCCCCCCCCCCCCAGCCCCCCGGTTGCTACGGCCCTGTTTTATTAAAATTAAGATAAACTGTCGCAACGAGCTTTTGCGAGTTGGTTCTTGTGAAGAGTGGAAAAGAGCCGCTTACGGTGCATGGCTCCCTACAGTAATTAGTAGACAGTTATCGGGCTTTTATTTTGATTTTCACAACAACTGACTCAACATTAACTCTGTAAATTTATAAAAAAGATGCAAAATGTTTTTTTTCCATTCTTACTGTTTCAGATATACTGTATTTTCTTTTCTCAACAATAAACAAATTACAAATAAATATTAAGGAAGTCAAAATGAAAACAATTAAATGTCAATCCACACGCGTGTACAGACAGAAAGTATACACAAAATATTAGTTCGAATTCCACGCGTGGGAACAGTAGTAAAACCTTGAGAATAAAAACCGATACACAAGGGTTTTTTGTTAGCATTATAGTCAATGTAATTGTTCTCACGCGCATGCGTGATAATCCTGTGGTATATATGTGACCGGGACGTAATAGATTCGTGAAAAATGTTTATAATTTTCTTTTATTTTGAACATGTACCCCAAAATACGAGGGCGACGGTTACAAGCGGGCAACTGCCCGAGAATGTTAATTCCCTTTTACTGTTGTTCTTTTCTTCGATATAAATGTTTCTTTGACGATAAAATACTGAATAATATCTTTTGAAATCGCTTTTATATTTGTTCAACTGCATTTTGCAGCATGGCGTGTTCATGACGTCACAGGAAGTGATCATAACAGGAAGTTAACTAACAACAACTATTAAGGTGTCTCTGAGTCTCTCTACAGTTTATTCAACCTGGCCACACTCTCCCCTGCTAACAAGGTGTCGTCCTCGACCTAACTATATAACTGCAGAGAACACGGAAATGCCAGTTATAAGCACACATATAACTAGGACATAAACATTAAAGTCTCGATACGATACCGTCAGTTGATTGCATGTTGGATTTGATTTGCTTTGGTGGGTGTTCTGTCTTTTCGCCGCTATCCGTTTCGATCTTCGGAGAGTTGTTGCTGGATCGTTGTCTGGCGTTGCTTGAATTTGTTCGCCTTTGGATGTGGATATGTGATGCTTTCTGGGTGACGAAGGGGTATTAACGAGCAACATAAACTCCGATTCAGTGTCAGTTGAGGACGTATCTTCATGAATGGCTCGGTTGGGAACGCACTTAATCGTCGTTGGTTGTATCGGTTGAGGAGGGTCACTCTTCATGGGGCATGGTTGTAGTTCAACACGACTGACCTTCTTTGGGGCACCTCGACCACTATAGGGTACGACAGTATATGATCCACCATCTTTGGTCGGTACTTCAGTCACGATAAACATGGTAGATTCCCATGCATCTTGGATCTTGTTTCGCCCCAAAACTCTTTTTCGTAGGTACACTAACTCCCCAACTTTGATATCTGGCGCGTACACCTTTGAATCGTTTCTTTGCTTTCTCTTCTCTGCTGACTCGCGTATATGCTCCCCTGCTTTTTCCCAAGCGTACCGTAGGCGGGTTTGATGTTTAGTAAGCCACTAAGCCACTCATTTGCAGACTGTTTCTGAGGTTCATCCTCTTCTTCTCCGAGGAGTAAGTCAACTGGTAACCTTGGTGATCTCCCGAAAAGAAGATGATATGGGCTGTAACCGGTTGTACCATGCGGGGTACAGTTGTAGGCATACAGTAACTCAGGAAGGTACTCGGTCCATCGACGTTTCTTTTGAGGAGGCAAGCTCTTAAGCAAATCATGGAGTGTGCGGTTAAACCTTTCACATTGTGCGTTGCCTTGTAGGTGGTAAGGTGTTGTGCGGCTCTTCTTTATACCATAAATTCGACACAGTTCCTGAATGATTGCACTCTCGAAATTCCTGCCTTGGTCCGAATGGATCCGTTCCGGTGTGCCGTACTTTTGAAACCACTCCTTTACAAGCACTTTGGCAACTGTGGATGCTTTTTGATCTTTCGTGGGTACTGCTAACGAAAACTTAGTGAAAACGTCAGTCATTACCAGTACATTTTCTTTTCCATCACTCGAACGTTCCAACAACGTAAAGTCAATGGCAAGAACTGACAGGGGTTGTTCGGTAATAAGGTGCCCCATTGGTGTTCGAATACGCGGTTGTGGCATCTTGGATAAAACACATCGTTCACATGACTTGATCCATTTCTCGACATCTGTGTACATACCTGGCCAGTAGCATCGAGATCTAGCTAGAAGAATAGTTCTCTCTAAGCCCTGATGTCCCATGTCGTTGTGAAGACTGCGAATTATTCTCTCCTTTAGAATCTCAGGTAGCACCAACTGTTGTACCTCGTGCTGTTGTGGATCGATAATCGTTCGGTACAATACTCCGTCCTTCAGTTCTAACCGTTTCCATTGCTGTAACAAGACACGGGTACCAATAGTGAGATCTTTCTTTTCCTTTGCACCGGGTTTCCTACCAACTGTCCAAAATTTCAGGAATGAGCTTATCGTTGGATCACTTTGTTGCATCTGCATTAACTCGGACTTGGAGTAACTTGGAAATGACTTCGTTCCTGACTTAGGTACGTTATGTTCTGTATTGATAGCGTTGTTTGCCACATACGTTTGCTGAGGACCTTCAATGGTTATGTTTGCACTTTTTTCCAAAGTGGCAGTAGCTAGGTGGGGTGGGAAGCTGTTGTATTGGAGGAATGAGCCAAGGTATTCGTTACTTCCACCACCGACGAAAGTTTGTCTGGGCAATCATGGTGAGGGAGGCGCGACAATGCGTCGGCATTAGCATTCGATTTTCCCGAGCGATAAACAATGTCAAATTTGAAAGATGCCAACTGCGAAGCCCATCGTTGTTCTACTGCTCCAAGTTTTGCCGTTTGAAGATATTTCAGGGGATTATTGTCAGTATAAATGGTGAAGTTGCTTCCTAACAGATAACTGCGGAACTTGTCGGTTACGGCCCATTTCAAAGCCAACATTTCTAACTTCATGGAGCTATAATTGTCCATATTGCGTTCGGTTGGTCTTAGTCGTCTACTTGCGTACGCAATAACACGTCTCTTTCCTTGAAGTTCTTGGGAAAGAACCGCACCAAGTCCTTGGTGGCTAGCATCAGTCTCGAGTATGAATGGTTGCGAGAAGTCTGCATATCCCAATACTGGTGCAGTTGTCAACAAATGCTTAAGCCTATCGAAGGCTTGTTGATGAACAATTTTCCAACGCTTTGGGAAGGGTACTAACAGATGTTTCTTTAGTTTCAGTTCGTGTAAACACCGGTTCTGTAATTCATGCAGTGGGTCAGCGACCTTGGAGAAATCTTTTACGAAGCGACGATAGTCGCTAGCAAATCCAAGAAACGAACGAAGTTCTTTCACAGCCTTGGGTACCGGCCAATTTTTCACCACGGATATTTTGTCAGGGCCAGTCGAGACACCGTCAGATGAAACCACATATCCCAGATACGAAACTTCTTTTCTAAGAAAACTGCATTTCTCTCGCTTTATCTTTAACCCATGTTGCGCTAGCCTCGTTAAAACTTTTTCCAGTCTTTCCAAGTGTTCGTCAAATGTTTTTGAGAAAACAATAACGTCATCGAGGTAAACCAACAACAGTTGATAGATCTGGTCGTGAAGGCAGCTTTGCATCAGTCGCTGAAACGTTGCAGGGGCACCACAGAGGCCAAACGGCATTCGATTATATTCAAACAGGCCAAACGGAGTAGTGAATGCGGTCTTCGGTTTGTCTCCCTCTTCGACTGCGACCTGATTAAAACCGCTTGCAAGATCTAATGTTGTAAACCACTGTGCACCATTGAGAGCATCAAGTGACTCGTCTATCCGGGGTAAAGGGAATGAGTCCTTTTGCGTTCTTAAGTTGAGCTTTCGATAATCAACGCACAGGCGAAGGGAGCCGTTCTTCTTTCTCACTAACACAATAGGAGATGCATAAGGGCTGTGACTTTCGCGAATGACTGAGCTATCAAGTAATTTCTGAATGTGTTCCTTCACCTCTTGGTATTGGTTTGGAGGAATTCGTCTGTAGGGTTGCGTAACCGGGATGTCATCCTCCGTCCTAATTTTGTGTTTAACCGTCTCCGTGTAGCCAATGTCATCGTCTGACTTTGAAAATACGGAAGCATGCTTGTTCAACAGTGCGTCCAGCTTTTCTTGCTGCTCTGGGGAAAGTCCGTTGCAAGGACAT